GAGGAGAAGCAAATTGAGAAACCAGCTGTGAGAGAGTGGCTTGACGACCTCAAACATGCAGTCTTTGATGCTGAGGACTTGCTGGATGAGATCAACTATGAAGCTTTGCGATGCAAGCTAGAAGGTGAAGCTCAAACAGCGAACAAATTAACCAAGAAGGTTCGGAACCTCCTCTCTACTTCTCGTAATAAGTTTTATCAAAGCATGAATGCTAAGATACAAGAGTTGTTACAAAGATTAGAAGATTTTGTACAACTGAAAGGTGCTCTTGGTCTGAGAGAAGATGTTGGGAGGAAGGTTTCACAAAGAACTCCAACAACTTCCTTGGTTCATGAACCTTATGTATATGGTAGAAATCAAGTCAAAGAAAATTTATCAAAAGTGTTGTTATCTGATGATGCAAGCGAGGAAAATGTGTCTGTCATCCCCATTGTTGGAATGGGTGGGGTTGGCAAGACAACCCTTGCTCGAATGCTTTACAATGACAATAAGGTGAAAGAGCATTTTACCCTTAAGGCTTGGGCTTGTGTTTCAGAAGATTATGATGCTATCAGGGTAACTAAAACTCTTCTCGAGTCAGTGACTTCAAAACCTTGTAAAAAGACAGATCTGAATTTGCTTCAAGTTGAGCTAAGTGAAGAACTGAGGGGGAAGAAATTTTTGTTTGTATTGGATGACCTTTGGAATGAGAAATATACTGATTGGAACTACCTCCAAACTCCTTTTACTTCAGGAGCAAGGGGAAGTAAAGTCCTCGTAACAACACGGAACAAAAGTATAGCATCTTTCATGCGAAATGTTCCTATTCACACCTTGAAACCATTGTCGCATGAAGATTGCTGGTTCTTACTTGCAAAACATGCAAATGTAAACTCTAGTTCTGATCCAAGCTTGGAAGAAATCGGCAAGAAAATTGCACGCAAGTGCAATGGGTTGCCTTTAGCTGCGCAAACACTTGGCGGTGTGTTACGTTCGAGGCCAGAATATGAGGTATGGAACAGAGTACTAAACAGTAGCATTTGGGAGTTACCTGGCGAGAAAAGTGACATTCTTCCCGCTCTAGGATTGAGTTATCATTATCTTCCAGCTAAGTTAAAGCGATGCTTTATTTATTGTTCAATTTTGCCAAAAGACTATGAATTCAAGGTAGAAGATGTTGTTTTTCTTTGGATGGCCGAAGGTTTAATCTCTCAAGGAGAGAATGGGTACAACATGGAAAAAGTGGCTAAGGAATATTTTGATGAACTGTTATCCCGATCATTGTTTCAAACGTCAGGGAAATCAAGTTTCGTCATGCATGATCTCATCAATGACTTCGCGGTGTTCATGTCTAAAGGATTTTGCTCCAGGTGGGAAGGGAGGGAATCACATGAAGTAGAAAAAGTTCGCCATTTGTCTTATGCCAGGGAAAAATTAGATGTTGCTGTTAAATTTGAGCCATTAAAAGAGACTATGCGTTTGCGTACCTTCCTCCCTCTCTCTTTAAACCCATATTTCTCGCTTGAAGGTAATTATGTAAGTAAAAAGGTTCTGCATAATTTGTTGCCATCACTAACATGTTTACGGGTGTTGTCATTGTCCCATTATATGAATGTCACTGAGTTACCTGATTCCATTAAAAAACTCATTCACTTGCGCTATTTGGATCTCTCCTATACGGAAATTGAAACGTTACCCGGTGTTCTTTGCAGCCTCTACAATTTGCAGACATTATTATTGTCAAATTGTTACGGTCTCGTTGAATTACCTGCAGACTTGAGAAAATTGATAAATTTGCAGAAATTAATGTTGGGAGGTTGTAAGTCTCTTACTAAATTGCCTGTAGACATGTCGGAATTAATTAATTTGCATCATCTTGACGTGAGTGGAACTAAAATTGCAGAGATGCCAATGCAAATGAGTACATTGAAAAGCTTGAGAACATTGTCCGCTTTTGTTGTGGGCAAATCTACTGGGTCGACTATTGGAGAATTGGGGGAGCTTCGACATCTTGGAGGAAAACTTTCAATTTTGCAGCTACGAAATGTAGTAGATGCTAGGGATGCCTTGCAAGCAAATTTGAAGGATAAGAAAGATCTCAAAGAGTTATAGTTGGAATGGGGTGATGAAGATGCGGATGATTCCCAAAAGGAGAAAGATGTACTTGAGAAGCTCCAGCCTTGGGTGAATCTGGAGAAACTAACCATCAGTGGGTATGGTGGAAAAGATTTCCCGAATTGGCTAGGGGACTCGTCCTTGTCCAACATACAAGTCATGTGTATTAGTGAGTGTAGTAATTGTTCGTCGCTGCCACCGGTTGGGCGGCTACCTACCCTCAAAGAGCTCTATATAGGAGGAATGAAACTTGTTAAGACGATTGGTGTTGAGTTTTATGGCAGCACTGGATCTTCTGTAATTCAGCCATTTAAATCACTGGAGAAGCTGGAGTTTAGGGTGATGGCAGAGTGGGAGGAATGGGTACCAAGTGGAAGTGGAGGTGCAGACTTTCCTTGTCTCCAGGAACTCATGCTATGGGACTGTCCGAAGCTGAGAGGAAGCTTGCCTTGTGATCTGCCTTGCTTGAAGAAGCTTAGCGTGCGAGGGTGTGGGGTTTTACATGATCAAAGGGCCACTACTGCTACTAGTGTTAAAATGGATTACAAATCTCTTGAAGAATTGAGAATAGGAGGAGGATTATTTGAAACTGAACAAACACTTGGCGGTGTGTTATCCGCAACTACCAGTAGTCTTAACTATAAATCTCTGGAAGAATTTAAAATAAGTGGTGGATGCCAAGCTCTGTTATCATTATTAGAGACAAAGCTCCTGTCCCGACTTGAGAATGAAAATGTTGTTGACGTACAGTGCTTGCCCAACTGCAATCGTCTTCAACGTTTGACTCTTTCGAATTGTCCAACGCTGTCATCGTTTCCCAAAGATGGCCTACCCAGTACCTTGACATCACTTACTATAGAGAATTGTAGGAGATTAGAATTCCTACCTCATGAGATGTTGGCCAAATTAACATCGCTCGACTCTTTGAGTATATTTCATAGCTGTGATTCAATGAGGTCCTTCCCGTTGGGCATTTTTCCCAAATTGACGTCGCTTTTCCTTTGGGATTGTAAGAATCTGGAATCCCTTTCCTTGATTGAAGAAGAAGGAGTTGATGAGAATCTCAGTCGTCTCAGTATCGCACACTGTCCAAATCTGGTGTGTTTTCCCCAGGGAGGATTGCCCACTCCCAACCTGACTGAATTGGAATTCATCAGTTGCGAGAAGTTGAAGTCATTACCTAAACGCATTCACACCCTCACAGCCCTTCGGGGATTGACGATGGATGATCTTCCAAATCTGGAGTCAATTGCAGAAGATGGGGGTTTGCCTCCCAACCTCCGACATTTTAGCATTAAGAATTGTGAGAGACTGAGGGCTCCATCTTCATCAGTGGGAGACTACTGTAATTGGGGTTTGCAATCCCTTGAAAAATTTGAAATTGGTGGCAGGGGAAGTGACGAAATCTTGGAGACGTTGCTCAAGCAACAGCTGCTCCCTACCACTCTTCAACGCCTCGAGATCAGTCAACTTTCAAGTCTGAAATCTTTGGACGCAAAGGGAATTAAACACCTCACTTCTCTTTCTTTTCTGAGCATCTCTAATTGTTCTGCCCTGGAAAAAAGGTATAAGAAGAAGACGGGAAAAGCTTGGGCCGACATATCTCACATTCCATGCATCAAGATAGGCAAAGAAATGATCATATGATATGAGCTCTCTCTCTCTCTCTGACACACATTCCTTGCATCCGATGTTTCACTCTCAACTCTCAAATCAAACTCAGGTATGTACTTCAAATAACTGGCTTAACGGGTTTTCTTCCAATTGAATCCAAATACCAAAATACATATTATTTTTTTGATAAAAAACCCAAATGCATATTGGATTTCCCAAATTCATGTCCCCAAATAAACCGAGATGCATATTTGTTACTATTTTTGTATTATCTTATTTATATATCATAGATTTTTGTCAATTACATTTGGCACTGCTGTTTATTGGTCTCTTCTTATTATCCGATTAAAATCATTTTCCAGAAAAAAACAATTTGTGCTCAACAAAAACTCTCAATCTGATTTCTATTATTATTTTTCTCAATAAAAATCTCGTTCTATTTACTATATTTCTAATTGGTGTTGTTAAGTCTCAAATGCTGAATAATTAGTAGTCTTTTGCAGGACAGCATACCTTTTCGTGGAGAGCTTTTCATTTGCAAGGTTTCTTTGCGTGCCATTTCCAGACGAGGGGTTTGCCGTTGTATATAGCCTTACAATTGTTACAACGAGGAGAAACAGAGAGGCTCACCTGGAATATATCAGTTTGACGCATTTCTGCATCAAATGTACAACATTTTTAGGTACTTTCTCATAAACTTAAGTTGAGTCTCGTTTCATTTGAGCTAGTTTAAATTGTATTTGATGCCTATAGATAACCTGTGAGCTTAAGTTGTTTGATCAAGTTATCTACATCCTTTTCTCTATTTTTAGATTTCGTTCATGTTGTGATTGGAGTGCTGCTGTTTTTTAAATTCATTCATGTAATGTTTGGGTGTTTAATCTCTGGTTTGCGGTTTTAGTTGAGTAGTCTTTGTTTATCCAGTAGATGACTTGTGCCCTGTTTTGTAATGGTCTTCCCTAATGGAAGCATGTTCCTAATGAAAAAAAAATGAGAAAGAAAACAACACAGTTTTATTTTTGGTCGAAAAACAAAACAGTTTTCATCGATGCTTATTGTTTATTTTCAACTGCAGAAGCCTGCTTTTGACATAGGTGGCATGGCGCAAACTTGCATCCTTACTTCCTTCCCCATTGGCATAGGTGGCTTTCTCATCTTCTTCATTCTGTTACCAGCTTGAAGCTTGTGTAGATATGCTTTGCTCTTGTAGTTCTGATCACAAAAATTGGTTCACAAATGGAAAGTCATGATTAGATCTATTAGCAGAAGATCTGGAGGAGTACATTCTAATATTTCTTTTCCTTCCATTCTTTTACCTCCTTCACCATCATAACTTTCTAATGACAGAGAGGTTGGGTGGGGATGGGGGAGGCAACAAGAGAAATTTGAAATCTCTCACAATTAAACGTGCAGATTAATTTCTAAATAGTCGACGTATTTCTGGTCGCGAATTTATTTTATTCCAACATCTAGGAATTGGATATGTTTTGCTCTTGTAGTTCTGAAAACTTTACAATCGGTGGCAGGGGAAGTGACAATATCTTGGAGACGTTGCTCGAGCAACAGCTGCTCCCTACCACTCTTCACACTCACCGCATCAACGAAATTACAAGTCTGAAATCTTTGGACTGAAAGGGACACCTCACTTCTCTTCAACACCTACGAATGGAAAGCTGCCTTAGTCTCAAATTTCTGCAACTTCAACACCTCACTTCTCTTCAAAGGCTATATATTAGTTGGTGTGACAATCTCCAATTCCTGCCAAAAGAGGGTTTGCAGCCATCTCTTTTTTTTAACTGCAGATCTACAAATGTTCTGGCCTTGAGAAAAGGTATGAGAATAAGACGGGAAAATATTGGACTAACATATCTCAAATTCCTTGCATCCAGATAAATGATCAAGTTTGTTTTTTTGTTTTGAAAACCCAGAACTCTACTTTGTCAACTTTGTTGGCTCAGCTTCCAAACTGGGGCCCACCACCATCTCTCTCTCTCTCTCTCTCTCTCTCTCACATTCGTTGTATCCAATGTTTCACTCTCAACTCTCAAATCAAACTCAGGTATGTACTTAATAACTGGCTTAACTGGTTTTCTTCTAATTGAGTCCAAAAACCAAAATACATATTCTTTCTCTGTTGAAAAAACCCAAATACATATTTGATTGCTCAAATTCAGTGTCCAAATACATATTTGTTACTATTTGTATGTCCTCAAATTCATTTTATTATCTTATTACATATCAGAGAATAACCAAGTCTTTATGGAAAGGGGTCTGCCATCAATTTTGCATCCAATCAACTTTTACAGTTGCCAAAAAAATCATAGCATTTATTTATCTTTTATTACTAATTGTACCTAAGCTCGCATTCTCATATTGGTTAAATAGTTTCACGCATTGATCAAAATCAAATTGTGCTCAACACAAAAACTCAATCTGATTTCTATTACTATTTACTTTATTTTTATTACTATTTACTTTATTTTTGCAGGACAGCATACCATGGAGAGCTTTACATTTGCAAGGTTTCTTTACGTGGCATTCACAGAGCAGGGTTCACCATTGTATATAGCCTTTTGTTTTTCTGCAAAAACAATTGTCACAGCAAGGAGAAACAGAAAGGCCCACCTGGAATATCTCAATTTGACGCATTTCTGCAAACAGGCATCGAATGTACATCATTTTAGGTACTCTTTCATAACCTGTGAACTTAAGTTGTAAGATGAAGGTGGCACTCTATGATTGTTATTATCTTTTTGAAGATGTGAGCATGATATTTATCATTCATAATGTTGCAGTGCACAAGGAGCACATTCATTCGGACTTGTAATAGGTCCATGCCATTAATTAATCTTTGGACCTTTAATAGCTACTGCACATATGATATTTATCCTTACTAATATATATTGTCTTAGTAGCAGGTTCTCTTTAGTTGAGGAGAGAGATCACTCAGCAATTACAAAATTTTATTAGTGAATTAAGCTTGTTTAAGCTTTGTTTGTCATCTCTCTCCTTTTCTCTGTGTTTAAATTTTATTAGTGCTACTGTATTTAAATTTCGTTCATGTACTAATGTTAGGATGTTTAATCTCTGTTTTGAGGTTGTGTTAAGTAGTCTAGCTTATCCAGTAGATAACTTGTCCCCTGTTTTGTGATTTTTTTTTTTCTTCTTATGAAACCATGTGTCTTATAAACCATGGCATAAAACTCAAATTCGTACTTCTGTCCCAATTGGCGTGCCGCCTCATCTTCTTTATACTGTTACCAGCTTGAAGCTTTTGTAGGTATGTTAGGCTCTTGTAGTTCTGAGTGCTTGACAAATTGAAAGTTGCAATTAGATCTTTTAGCAGAAGTTGTGGAGGTATACTTTCTTACACTTTTTTCCTTTCATTCTTTTACCTTATCACCATCATAACTTTTTAATGACATAGAGGTTGGGGTGGGGAAGGGGAAACGACAAGAGAGAATTTAAAACATCAGAGAATCAAACTTACAGATTAATTTCTGAAGAGTTAATGTATTTCATAATACCTAATTTTATTTTATTTTTCCAACAATTGGATGAAAAAGTTTAGGTACTATGATTTGGACGTTTGTAAGATAGTTCTTCTATTTGTTAGAATTTTCTAAATATAAAAATCAGTAGTAACAAAAACAATTTCATACCAGCGGTTATCGTATTACAGACTAAAAATCAGTAGTACAGGTTTTGTTAGACTGAAAAAATTGACATAGGAAATTTATTCACATGGTATAAGGAACCGAGTCATGAATGGAAATTGTGATCCAAAGCATATTGGTTACTTTTATATGACTCTTTAGATTAATAGTAGTTGGCATATCAGCTGAGGCCTTTATGACTGTATTATTAAATTGATTATTCTCGAATTGTTTTTCTACTGTTAAAGGAGTTAGTCGCACAGAATGAAAAACTACATATGCCATCTTCTTTCATACCATTTTTCAAAAGTCCATTCGTCCCATTCTTCTTCAACAATGCAGGAAGTTATACCAGACGCATGGTTCAATGGAGGTGACTTTCCTTTTCCCTGTCTCCCTGGTCCTGCTGCTGCCTTTACCTAGCAGCTTTATCTATATGCTTGTATAGATGTGCATATAATATCTTGTGTAGATAATATCTTTCCTTTGCCACAAATCATTCCTTCAGCTGCAAAGTTGTATTTGAAGAGACTTGAAATGTTGGATGTGTACTTGCAGACTTGAGAAACTTTCCCATGTTTGGAGGTCAAAGCAACTCATGTAGGCAACGATGCATGATTTTAGAGTCGAAGCTGATGCTGTAATGATAAATTTCACCTTAGCACTGTAAATGCCTTTCTGTGCTCGCTTCTTCTGTAAGGGGCTATCAAATTAGTTTGTCAGCTAGATTTAATATGGTTCACTTTTTTGTTGCTTTCCTATTACCATAAATTTTCTTATTCCAAATTGGATTTGTAGGATCAAACCAAGCAGTTTCATACATTGCATGCATTGTTTCATCAGCATTTCAGACGGAAAATGGGCCTTGAATTGTCTTCTAAGCCAACGGATTTTTATAGAATCTGAAGTGTAATGGAAAATTACTGAATTGATCTACACACAGAGTAAACATTTATTCTGTTGGATGCTTGATGTGCCTCTTATAAGTGGCTAAGTTGCAATATGTGGTGTCATCAAATACTCTGCAAAGAGGTAGGTCATCAAGTAACTTACGCTTTTAATTATTTGATGGGTATGGTATCTCAGTGCTTGTAATCTACATATGGAGTCGTCACTGACAGGTCCATCACATTACATCAGTCATGTATGGGATATGAATCATACACTTTGTGCTTTTGAACTCTCAAGTGAAGAGAAATTTTTTGTTTGTGGATTAATATTGTCATATCCCTTGTTATTTATTGTATTTGAACACCAATTGAGATAGATTGTTTTGTCTGTGTTATTTATTGTCATGTCCTTTCTCCTTTGTTTCATTTCTGGTGGTTGCTTACTTAAATCTGTCCTTCAGCAGTTCAAGTTGACACCGGAGTTGAACAAGGATTAGGTCAGCTTTATATTTCGCGGTAAACACCTCTTTCTATACATATTTTTAACTGTCTACATAGATTAATTTATCAGCATGATTTTATGGTGCATTTAGAACCTAAACATAAAAAATAAATTCCTGTTATCATTAATTTGTTGATTCGAATTTGGACTTCTAGGAACAGATCAAGCATAGTCATACATGGCATGGGTCACTTTCATCATCATTTCAGACGTAAAATCAGCCTTCAACTGTCTACTGAGTCAATAGACCTTTCTAGGTATCTCAAGTGCAATGGAAAATTCATGACTGACTTAAAGATTCACAAAGAACTCTTCGAAATGTGGACTGCAGAGAGGTAAGAAAGTCACCGTCAAGTAAATTTATACTTTCAATTTATACGCTTCTTATATATAATTATAAGTTTATCTACACCCCAAGGCTAACCAGTTGATGAATTAATATGGTGCTAACTACTCGTTTAGAGTCTAAACCCAGTCAACACCCTGGTCTGATGATCCAAAATTGGAAACTATGTAGGCATCTAACGTTGATCAAATAAAGAAGAACACAGTATATTTTCGATAAATAATGAATAAAAATACACATCTACCCTTTCACAGTTCCACATTAACTCTTAAAAATGGCTGCATCTTAGAACAATGACACTGAATCTGTATAGCTCATCTTCAATCTAAAGATTAAAAGTAACACGAGTGTTCTTTCGTCCTCTGTTTATTTGATTATCTTTTGACTTTTGGAGGTGTTTTCAAATTTGAGAATCCAGTAAACGCAGTGTGCATATATTGAAAGTATTCCACATGATTTCAACAATAATATTTTCTTTTCAGATTTGCTGATGATTGCAACACTTGCAAAGATATAGGTTGAAGGAATCAGAGCTAACCGTGAGGGCCGCTGATGCGCAATGTTATTGAAACTGGCAACATGGTCCGAAGTGGCAATTTCATGCCTGATGGCTTCAGAAGCAAAGCTCTAGTAAGGAAATTGGTCGCAGCCCATTCTCAAAGTTTTTGTTTGCATATGTAAGAGATTGGGGTATTTTTATTGAAAGGAGATGACATGTTCCCTAGAATAGCCAATCTAAGTTCCTCTCCAAGTTTTTTTTTTTTTTTTTTTTTTTTTTTTTTTTTTTCATTTAAGCAATGTGTGGTCTTAGATTGATCTGGTGGTGCAAATCAGTCCTAGTTTCTTTTCCAAAATGTCATCAATTGGAACCTTGTAATTGAGAGCAATATGCTAAATGTTGTTGGATTGGATCTATCCTCTTCATTGTAAACCTAATGTCTACGAGGCCTTCAAGGTGTTTATGCCCAAAGTTCAGAATTTGTTATATGAGTTATTTACACCAACACCCCCTAAGGTTTTCGGTCTTTTCACAAAACCCCCTAAGGTTTTAAAAATTACATGAATACAGGTTTTAAATTGTTTTCACAAAATCCCTTTTCGTTCAAACATTAATGATTTTATATGAAAATTTTCTCCAAATGACAAAGTTAGCCTTTGAGATTAGCTTGCACATACACTTATTAAGGTTAATTTTGTCACTTGCATAAGTTTTTTTTAATATGAAATCATCAATTTTTGGATGAACAATCAATGAAAATGGGTTTTGTGAAAATAATTTAAAACATTAGGGGGTGTTCGTGTAATATTTGAAACGTCAGGGATTTTGTGAAAACACCAAAACCTCAGGTGTTTTGTGGAAACACAGAAAACCTCAGGGAGTGTTAATGTAAATAAATTTGTTATATTCTAAGATCGAAGGTTTTTGGATTTGTATTTACTTTGACCATGTGAATGACATATGATGTTGTTAAGGGTATATTGGACTTTTAGTGGGGGGAGAGAAGGCGCTAAGGATTCGTCCTTAATCAAGAAAACATGTTTGCCACCAAACCGCATTGTGAACCCACCTGAGATCTCTGCCTTTCACTGTTCTCCCCACGCCTTCCAGCACAAAACACGAGAGCATTGGCGAGTGGGCTAAACTCCTAGCCATAATGGTGGCAACATCCCACCACCTCCTTCATTGACATTGTGGAAGTGATTTTCGTCCAAAAAGAATATTTATCTAAGATTTCGTCCTCCTCTTCGCTTCTCTTTCTCCTTACAAAACAATACGGAGTAAATGACCATACCCGGGAGGTGTTGGCCAAAGGCCCTCTGATGCCTAAGTTAGGGTGAGTGTTTGTAGGAAAACAATAGCTACCAAAAGGATGGAGATTTCTCTAGGGTGAGAACTGGGTGGCCGGAGTCATGTGTGTGAGGGAGAAAGAGTTATGGCGGTTAGGGTTTGTGAGATAGAATTTCTGCAGAGTTTCAGACTGAAGTTTAGATGTACCTCAACCCTTGGTGTATCCATGTATTTATAAGAGCCTCGAAGACTAGGGTTTTGGAAGAATAATTCCACATATGGAAATGAATTATTCTTCCCCAATTTGGAGAGATTGACGCAATTAAAGTAAAAATCAAATAATTCCCAAATTGATTGGCTTAATTATTTGATTTAGGATCTGTAGATATTTTGCTTCCACAATCATCATGGTCGTCATCCACCGCGTCTAATTCACGGTGATTCCTCATCGCATTGGTGAACATCGAGACGTTCCTCAGCATCAACTGGTGGTATGTCACAGAGGACAAAGGCGGGTGGTTAAACCAATCATGAGGCACCGTTGGAATCGTTAGGATTAGCTTCAACTGTCTACTGAGTCAATAAACTTGTGGTAGAAATGGGAGTGGCGTCGGTGATTGGAAGATGAGGGCTCTTGTTTGGGAGTGTCGAAGATATCAAAGCTTTTTGGTTGAGAAAAGCCCTTGTGATGGTGGTGATGGCTATGGTGGCAAGGGGTTGAAAAGGTATAAGAGGAAGAAGGGGTTGAGGAACTAGAAATGATGTTTTTATCCCCTCATTTTGAGGACCAAATTGACGGAATATCACAGGTAGGACCTAATTGGATTGGAACTACCTGTTGAGTTCACCCATGTAGCTGCCTAAATAAAAAATTCAGAACTCAATTAAAACTCGAGGTAAAGTTCACTCTATTTTAGCCTTGTGACTAAAATTTACATTTTTTTTTAAAGGAGTTGGGTGTAAATATTAAGGCCCCATTTGGTTCATGGGAAAAGAGGCTTGGGAATGGGAATTCAATTGCTTTCCCATGTTTGGTAAGTCTAGGCATGGGAAATGGTTGCCTGGTACATGGAAAAGTAGGGGGGAAAGTGAAACCCTCCTCTCAACTTAGGTTTTGTTTTCCCTCCTCATGGGAAAGTTTGGGAAAATGAGCCAACATTCAATGCACAATTTTCATGACTATTTTGTCCCCATGAACAAATAAAATTATAATGTATCATTAAATACATTCTTTTTTTATTTGATTTAATATGGGTATAATTGGAAAATTATACAAAATTTGTTTTCCATTCCTACTCAAAACAAACATGGGAAAGGAAATAAAGTAAAATCTTCTGGTTATTTTCCCGACATTACCAAACATAGAAAATGAATCTTCATTCTCATTCCTTAGAAAATGACATGGGAATTGATTTCCCTTCAAATCTATTCCGTGAACCAGACGGGGCATAAGTTGGGTTAACTTAGGAGAAAGTTGGGTATCCGTATCAAAACGAAAGCCGAAATTAACCAGAAATCAGCCGCTCTGTTTTTGGTCTCCGCGCCGCAGTTCATTCCCAGCTCCTCCTACTTCTACTCTGGAGCTCTTTGCAACAAGAGTAACATTCCAAAATCAACTTACCTCAGGCCTCGGGTTTCAACTAGGGTTTTTCGATTTTCCAATAGAAATTGATTATCATCGACTTCTAAACATGGCATTGCTCTTCAAGTTGAAGAGCCTCAGATTGGGTTATTCAATACTTTCTTCTACATTTGCTTCAAAAACTAAAAGGTTTGTTGTTGGAGATCGAAAACCCTCAAATTTTTCTCTTCAAAATCAGTTACTCTGCCGACACTTCACCTCAGAAATGTCGGCAAACCAACACAATTTCACAGTCACTTACCTCATAAACTCATGTGGGTTGTCTCCAAAAGCTGCAATTTCAGCATCCAAGAAGGTCGAGTTGCAAACCCCAGAAAGAGCAGACTCCGTCTTGGCCCTTGTGAGAAACCATGGACTCTCTGAAGCCCAGCTCTCAAAGTTTGTCAGGTTACACCCAGAAGTTCTTTTAGCCGATCCTGAGCAAACCCTTTTGCCAAAGCTTCGGTTTTTCATCTCTCTCGGGGTTTCAAAGGAGGACCTTGCGAAAACTCTGGCTTTCTGTCCGCAGATTTTGTCAAGAAGCTTGGAGAAAGAGATTTTACCCGATTATAATTTCCTTAGGAGCTTGATTCCTGAGAAAAAAGTTGTTTCTGTTTTGAAGAACAGCTCGTGGTTTTTCTTCGAAGGCCACTCCAAAAATGTGGTGCCAAATATTGGTCTTTTGAGACAACTAGGTATGCCCCAATCATGCATTTATCTGTTGCTGGCTCATTATATTAATGTTCTGATGGTAAAGCATGAAAGGTTTGGTGTAGTTGTGGGTAAGGTCAAGGAAATGGGATTTAATCTGGAAAAAGCTACTTCCGTGTCTGCTCTACGTGTATTGTGTGGTAGGCACAAGTCAGTATGGAATCGAAGTTGGGAACTTTATAGGAGTTGGGGTTGGTCTGATGACGATATTCTTTCTGCTTTCAGGCGGTATCCGCAGTGTATGATTCACTCGGAGAAGAAGGTAATGGAAGTAATGGATCTTTTAGTGAACAACATGGGATGGCCGTCAAGAAAGATTGCCCAATATCCTGTGGTCCTAAGTTTGAGTTTAAAGAGGAGACTGATCCCAAGGTGTTCGGTTGTTAAGGTTTTGTTTTTGAAAGGAGTTATGGATGAAAACTTGCATTTGGGTTCTGTGTTGCTGCCTGTGGAGAAGCACTTCCTGGAGAAGTTTGTAACTGCATATCTCAAGGAAATACCTCAATTGTTGAATGTGTATCAAGGGAAAGTTGAATTCCAGGATGTATGATTTTTAACAGTTTTTAACACCTTGATGCTGCAGTGTTTTGCTTGGAAAATTGTTTTTGGTACAATACACGTGTCTTGCCTCTGTTGGGGTCCAATTTAAACTTCTCTGCAGGTGAGTGAAAAGGAAAATTTTTTGTCTATTCAAGTTAGAAGTCGATGCAAAAATCTGAGAAATATTTATTCATTTAACAGTACGAAGAAGTACAATTCAGTGACTTCAAAGCCTGCAATCAAAATGTGCACGTAATGACTAGCTTACCGGGATCCCTGGAGCAAGGCATGTTCGGTGCTTACATCAGTATACATGTCACCATTTACAGGGGGGCAACTGGATTTCCCAACACAACAGCACCATCAGTTTTAACACCTTTCCTTAAATATGAATGATTACTATTGGCAATTGGGGACAAGTGGTGAAATGATTATGTTAATTGATATTATTTTTCCTATTTGAATCTCACCTTTAATTCCACTTATATGTATACCTCTTTACGTATTTAAAGAGGAGTTCTTCTAGTTCTGATTGAAACTTAACTTAGCATGCATGCCATTGAGTGCTGCAGACAATTGATCCCCTTCATGCTTCTCTCTTGAGATCAGAAAATCTCCAGAGGCTTTATAATGGATTCATTCATCCCCACCGCTAACAATTGCCAGCTGACTCGTTATTGTTCCAATAACCTGGATCTTTTGTCCCCAGAGGAAGTCTAAACTTTTTACTGGAACTGGCAGGAAAATGAAAATTTAAAACATTCTGTTCACTCTGCTCATTCTATGCATGCTGTGAATTTTCAATAGTTACAGTCTTACAACGGTTGATAAATAAACAACTATGCAAATTCAGTATTTAGGTTAAGGAGATTGTGATGCTTTGCAGCTTTGAATTGAAGCTGTGAATGAAATGGAATGGCATTTGGTAGGCATTCATGCTGTGAATGAACCTCTCTTTTTAATTGTTATTATATCTGCTGCATTGCCTTCTCGAGAAAATGTGAGACTGAGGATTGAGGTATATTATTGTACAAGCATTATCAAGCTAACCACCTGAAAATGGGAACTAGAAATGTATGTTTTCTGGTATTGCTGCTTTGACTCAGTGGGGCATTGAGGGTACAATCCATGTTTGATCTGTTAGTCTAATTCCTCAATCTATCAACTATTATTTGGTGATAAACAAATGTTACTAACTTATTACAGTACACCTTTTGCTGCAGACAAGCTACTTTATAAATGGTTGAGAAAATATGACAGCAAATATGGAAAGGTGAGAGGTTAATGATGCACGTTACAGAATTCATCTTTCAGTTTTCTGATACTATGGTTTCCAAACAGTTCTGTTTTCTCATAGAAAATTCTCCTAATTTGTTATCGAAATGCTGGTGCATAATCTCTGCATATAAATATTTATTGATCAGTCTACATTTTGTCATTCAGATTGTGGATTCTCTGCACCTCAATTTAATTTGCAAATTACTGTTCTCATCAGGAAATGTTACATGCATTGTGAGCCTCTTCATCATGGAAATGCATTCGGAGAATTTGCTCTAGGGTTTGAATTGCCTTTCATAATCTGGAAAATGTTAATAAGCTGAAATTATAAGGTGGAGAAGAAGAAGGTGAAATCCATAAATAGGCATAAAACGAGTGGAGTGGGTTCCTATCAAATAGGTCGATTCTCTCCCTTTTTCTCTGTTTACTTCCTTTTCTCTTCTTTCTTGCAATTCAATTCTCTACTGTTTGCTTCATTTAAATAAACTCTAGTAGGTCATTTAAACGGGATCCAAGTCAGGATGGGGTAGGTCATCTAAACGTAATCTGGGTCTCAAATAGAACAATTTTACTGTCAAATATTGTTTTCTGGTGGCAAAAATATCATTTTTTTGTTCTTTTATGGATTGGGGGAACGTGGATCCCTTTGGTTCAAAGAAAATAGATTTGTGGGAAATCAATTCGAATGTCTTTTATGAGGGGATGGAATGGAAACTAGAAGTCTTTTTCCATCTTTTATACTGCTAAATTAACTTGAAAATATCATTTTAGTTTATTTTCCTATGTTTGATTTATGCAGAAATTAAAAACAAAAATACGCTTAATTTTCAATTCTACCCTTACATTAGAAGAATGCAAGGAAAATGTAATGAAGTAGACATGGGCTTAGCGAAATTTGCTAGGAAAGATGTGAGGCTCACTATGCACCTGAATTCGAATCTCCCTCCCTGTAATTTAGATTAATTTAAAGTAGAATATCGTTTGTATAAAAAAAAAACGTAATTAATGTTTATTTTGATAAAATTGGCATCTCTATTGTTAACAAGGCAAATTGGTCGTAGAAAAATGTAACTTTATGCTTGCCATGACTTTTCACGGGAATGGCAAATGAAAACCAATTTGGAAACGGTTTTCATTTTCCTTAGTCCAAAAATAAAAAAATGAAATAAGAGCACAATCCTCTTTTATGAGTGTTTTTTCATTTCTGTTTCTTCTAATCTTGGTTTAAAGACATATAGTTAATGTCTATTTCTTAGAAATGAATGAAGTTATGAATTGAGGAATTTAGATTGGGTAATTAAGCCATTGGAATTAGATCAACTACACCTCCAAGTTGATTCCTTTCTTGATTTTAGTGTATAGGGTCTTAAGGATTAGGAAAATCTATGAATAGAAATATTTAGATAGTATAATAAAGGAATTGGAAACTAGATGTCTCATGTTCGAATCCCTATGTCATCATAGTTGTGTGTTTTCCTGATTAATAAATAAGTCAGCGCATTGGTCTCATTCAACTTTTTGTATTTTTTAGGACCTTTCTTATTGAGAGGGGTGATAATATACTAAACTCACACACACACTACACGGATGCTAGGACTCGAACCTAGGACCTTGCCTAGTGGAGCATTTTCTCCAAACTACTATACTAGTGGATCTCATTCAACTTTTTAATACCTTGCATATTTGTTTAATTAAGAGTGCTGTTATTTCCACCCCTATCCTATTTCCTCATCCACTTTATTTTCCCACCTCCCATGAAAATTTGAAAAAAATACAATTTTATCTTTCCATCAACCATTATTCCTAAAATACCATTTAATTTTTAATTCAAGCAAATTCTCTCAGCTAATCATTCATAGTTGATATATGGAGAAGATCAAGTTGTATTTGACGGACTGGATAAATGTTTTAGTCTAATATTTCAATTTTCTGGATCTTTTAGTTTTTTATTATCTGCCTTGTTGTAGCTTATGAAAAGATTCTCCATAACTGTTTTCCTTAAGTTTTTAGAAGTCATTTTACAAAGTGGTAAATTTGTTTTTAAAATTTTAAAGATAAGGTGGTTGAGAAATAGAACAAGGGTGGAAATTAAGGGTGGGCATGGGGATCGGAAAACCAGAACAACGAACCGGATCGGATGGAAAATATAGGAAAAAATAAATTTGATTGACTAAAAAAGTCAACAAACCGACATCAAATTGAACCAGACTGGTTTCAGTTTCAATTTCACACCATATCAAATCAAATCAAACCAGACTGGATCGAACTAGTTGTGTATTATATTATTTTTTTACAAAATTATTGAAATTCAATGCTACATTTTTAATATCATAACTAATATTTCATCAAGTCAAACTTCAAAACATTTATCTTTCCTAGGTTCAATATCTCTTTTTGTATATGAAATTGGATCATTTGTTAGGTTTCAAGCCCACAAAACTAAAATTTTAGTTGGAATTTATAATATAAAAATTAATTTGAAAAAATAAAATAATAATTTGGTTCAAAATCGAAAAAACCAAAAACCAAAAACCAAACCAGATTGGTCAGTTTCCTAATTTTTTTTTTTCACTAAAACAAAACTGAACCAGACCGATTAAAAAATATCTATTTTAATTTCAATTTGAGGTAAAAACTGAATCGAACCAGCCCGCGCCCACCTTAGTTAAAATAGCAGTATTCTTTAGAGCAGCTCTAGCGAGGGAGCCCAACCCGAGTCTAGGGGGAAAAAAAAAATTGCGTTCCAGCGGACAGCCCAAGCCCGGGGGAGGTGTGGGACCCACCAAATAGGGCTGGCCCGAAGGCAGCTTCTGCCCGAGGTCCAAAACGAGGGGCGTGACGTCGAGCACGCGGTAGTCAATTTTTTTTTACCGTTGGCGCATGCATTGCATGCGCCAACGGTAAAAAATTTTTGTACCAGTGTGAGTTGACGTCAGCGCGACACAGGTCCAACAGCTGGAAGCCACGTGGCACGTCCCCAGCGCTCCGATTTGCTTCTACAGCCTTCATCTAACGGCTGGCGTTTTTTCAGCAATAAAATTATGAAAAAAAATCGAAATTTAAAAAAAACTAAAAAAACTAAAAAAAACTTTAAAATTGTGATTTTTTTTTCCTATAAATACCCTTCACTTTCAACACCAATTCTCATACATTTTATTCTACTTCTACTATTACTCAACATTTTCATCTCTTTCACCTTGTATTTTTATTTCTTATTTTTATGGCTTCTTTTATCGAAACCGGAGGGGCGTGGAGCACCATGAAAGATGTTTCTTTGTGTGAGGCTTGGCTCCGAGTTTGTCATTGTCCCGTGACAGGCAATGAGATGAAATTTTTATTTTTCCATATGTGGAAAAAAATTCATGCCGATTTTTGCGAAAAAATTCCGGACTCCACTCGTACGGAAATGGCATTGTCGAGTAGGTGGAAACTTCTCAACAAAGAGATGGCAAAATGGAGAGATGCCTTGGCAAAAGCGATGAACTTGTATAGAAGTGGGGAAAATCGTACTAACGAGGTAAGTATTTTGTAATTTTCGTTTTATTAAGTTTAATGTCCTAATATATATATATATGTTCTTAATATTTATTGCATTTTAAATATTTTGTTAATATTTATTGCATTTTAAATATTTTGTTAATATTTCTTGCATTTTCAATATTTTAATATTTCTTGCATTTCTAATTGTTTCTTCATATTTCTTGCATTTTCAATATGTTGTTAACATTTATTGCATTTCCAATTGTTTCTTCATATGTCTTGCACTTCCAATTTATTTGTAAGGTTAATTGCATTTCCATTATTTTTATTTTGTTACTTGCATATCCAATATATTTTAAATATTTCTTGCATTTCCATTTTTTTGTTAAATAGCTGATTCAAGCACAGATGTTGTTCGGTGCAACCGGGGTGGCAAAAAAAGTTTCACCATTCGGGCAACCTCATCCACCTAATCAGCAGATGCTCCATACGCCAACATTCATATAACAGCTATAAGCTTTTGCTCCGGAAGAAGCCCCAAAACCCCAGCAACATCACACTTCTGAACAAAGTATGCATCATCCGAAATTTGAACCCAAATTTATCTGAAATTTGAATTTTGAAATTCATCCGAAATTTGAACCCAA